ACACAGCACCCTGCCCGACACAGCACCCTGCCCCACCAGCACCCTGCCAGACACAGCACCTTGCCCCACCAGCACCCCATGAACCACAGCAACCCATGATCTGCAGTACTCCATGATCTGCAGCATTCCATGAGCAGCTTAATCTGCAGTGCCCCATGATCCACAGCACCCCATAAGTCACAGCTCCCCGTGAGTCACAGCACCCTGTGATCTGCAGCACCCCCAGCACCCCACGGGCCACAGGACCCCACTAGCACTTACAAATCTGTAAATTCCCCCTCCAGCTCTTAATTTCCAGTTGCAAAGAAAAGTAAGGGGGTGACACAGTCCCTCTGTGCTCCCAGGGACAACCATCACTCTCCTGGGGCACTGCTCAAGGCTATTCCCAACCCCAGGTCATGATGACACTAGCAGGTCCCCTCCATCTCTCCCTGCAGTGCTGCTCTGTGCACTGGGGTCTCCTCCTTGCAGAAATCCTACCAACCTGCTGAGCAAACTTCCCTCTAAGTCCTTTCCCCTTTTTTCTGGGGGGGCACATGAGGAACCCAATTCCACTGGGTGCAGACCAGGTACAAACCATCTCCTGGATGGTCTCAACATGCCTCTGCTCCATGGGTCATCTTGTCCCAGTTGCTGCAAGACACATTGGCTTCTTCCCCCTCTCCCCTCTTGCCCTTTTCCACCCTCTCAACTTAAACATCAAGCCTGAATATTCCTGAAAGAGGGGCAGAAACAGAGCAGGGAGCTCAGAAGGGCAATTGTCACCTCCTGGCATGGGGCATGGTCCCCTGGGAAGCCCATGCTGAGAGTTAATTTTGTGTGACCATGAAGCATCACCCCCTCCCCAATGCCTTGCGTCACAGCAGCCAAGGCTGCGACATTAAATAATTCCTGTCCCTGACAGCCCTTTTGGCACCGTCACTCGCCTTCGAGTCCCCTTGGGGCAAGATTTGTCTCCATCTTCATGGATCTGGACACAACAAGGAGAGGGGAGGCAGCAGGGGTGGGCCCAGCTGGGAGCAGGATGCTGGACACCCTGCAGTGATGCTGTGGGAGGTACACCCCAAGGACCAGAGGGACCCCTTGGGGAACAGAGGGACCCACTAGGGACTGGAGAAGCCCCCACGACCCCCCCACCCCACCCTGGGGACCAGAGGGACATTCCCGGGGCTGGAGGAATGCCCTGGGGACCAAAAGGGCATGCCAGGGACCAGAGGGACCCCCTAGGGAGCAGAGGAACCCCTCAGGGAGTGGAGGGACCCAGACGTCCTGCCTCAGTGACACACGTCACTGCTTGCCACCAGCTTGCTTGAGGTGCCAGCACACGTGCAAGGCACAATTGTCCCTCGTTTCGGGTGACAGGTTGACGAAATGTGTCCCCGGGGCCAAACAGAGATCATTCCCTTTTCCAGACGACAGCAGCCGTCCCTGCCTCCAGCCAGGAATTTGGCATCTGGAGCCTTCTTCCTGAAGCTGTCAGGGATGGAGCAGGGAATTTCGACCTCGGAGCACATGCTGGTGCCAGGATACCCCTGGGACAGCCTCGATGCCACTGTGGTCACTTCAGACCCTGTCCCCTGCCCAGAACATGTTGGGATCTGGCCTTTCCCTGCACATGGATGTGGGAATAACAGCAACATTGATGTGGGTTTGCCCTTCCATGTCCCTTGAGAAGGAGAGAGGCCAAAAAGCTGATGCCAAAGCTGCCCTGTGCCCACCCTGCGTGGGGTCTGCGTGTTTGGGGAGGTTGGTGGTGGGTCATGCGTGTGTGAGGCATCGTGTGATGTGGGGTGTGTGTGCACACACATGAGCATCCCTGCAGAGGGAGGGGCTGCAGGGCTGCTGTGTGACATGTGTGGACCAGCATGTGAGTGGGACATGTGTGTGTAAACATGGGCACGCGTGTGACTGCGTGTGGGTTGGTGAATGTGTGTAGGAGTGTGTGTGCAACTGTGGGCAAGGGGCTGCATGCGCACAGGGGCGCGGATGCATGAGTGTGAGAGCACGTGCGCACACGTGTGTACATGTGTGTGTGCAAACACGTGTGCATGGGTGTGCACAGTCACGGTGTGTATGTGTGCGTGTGAGGGTGCCTGTGTGTGCACATGCGTGTTCATACGTGTATGAGTGTGTGCACAAGTGTGGCTGTGTACATGTGTACACGTGTGCCTGAGTGTGAACGCGTGTGCATGCAGGGGGGTGCCGTGTCTGCGCCCTGGCACCAGTACCAGTGTGTGTGCAGTACCGGTCCCGGTGCAGGCAGGTTCGGGTGCGGGTGTCAATACCGGTTCTGGTGCAGGTCCCGGCACGAGTGTGGATGTGGGTGTCAGTGTTCCTATCACTATGGGTCCCGGTGCGGGTCCCGGTCCCGCTGCGGGTGTCGGTGTCGGCGCTGTCCCCCTG